CCATCCAGATTTGCCTCTACCCCCAAGGTAGAGACGTATAGACTGACTCCAAACTGCAAAGTTACGACCAGTGAGCAACACACTGGTAATCCGATGAACTGGAGCATGGGAGGGCAAGGAAACATTTGAACGAGGCATAATGCTTTGAGTTTGTATAACAAAGTCAGACATGCTGAAACACCACGAAGCTGAAGTAGCGGCGTCACACAAAAGAGATGCTACCGAACACACTGGTTGCCCAACACAATAGAAAATCAAACTAAAAAGTGCTTACCACATCAGCACATGAACCCTAGAAGGGTAAAGAGAGAAGAACAACACCTAGGAGGGGAAGCTGCACTAGACCTAACGCAGGGAGGGCCTACTCGGCACCTAAGGAAGCTGCGGCAGTGAGGAAAAGGGACTGCCGAGGGGCTGAGAAGGAAGAGGAAAACTTTCGGCTGGGTGGAGGGAAGAAGAAGGGCTGTCGGGTGGCTGAGTAGGTGGTTTAGGGCTGCTGACAATAGAAGACAAGGGTGGTGGGTGGCTAGGGTTTGGGTGGGTGGCTAGGGTTTGGCTCTGATACCAAGAAGAGAGTTATAAAATATTGGCTTACCCTAATTTAGGTGAGACCATGTCTATATATAATCAATATAAGATACATGGAAAAAGGAGTTAAATAATGACACAATCAAACCCTAAAATTAAATTCCTAAATTAAATATACAATATTCCATATTCCAACAGCATGAAGTGTTAGAACTCTTCCTTTCTTGCTTTACTGGTATCCATTAGCTTGTAAACTATACATTCGAATGATATGATCATAGACCAATTTCATTTTGGCTAGAAAAATTGCTACGTTCTTTTATTCAAGTTAGTAAAAGAAATCATGAACAGAAAAAAGATTCCAGAAGCAAAAGTTAATGAACCTCAATGAAATGCTATGCAATTACAGGCTCTTTTGATGCTAACTAGTGTTGAGTATTGACATAAGGAAATAATCAGTATTAATGCAATGTTAAAATCCACCTACTCTCCACCTACTTCACCCACTTAAACCTACTCCACTAAACCTAACCCACTACACCACTACCACCTCCACTTCACCTACTCCTTACCTACTACACACTCACCCTCTTCTATATATAGGAATCATGAATCATTGTAATAGTTATCAATATCAATAAACATCAATCAATAATACATAAATTTTTACAGAAATCATGTATGAAGCATAACCTGATAGATCCATGAGTCAAATTGCTGATGAACTTCATCAACAAGAGTTCCGCGCACAACCTTCAATGGCACCTGCAATTATAATAGTCAATTTTAGCTGTAATAAACAACATCAATAACCAACAAAACAGTATGATGATGGATTTGGCATTCCATTAGGCCACAATTCATGTGACCAACCCCATGAAGTCTCTATAAGGCCTCACTGAGAAGTTAGTGGAAAAAGAAAAAAAGAAAAAATGCTTACTGCTCTTGAAACCACAGTGGGAGGGGATCCATTGGGCCTGAAAATGTATGCACCGGAACACTGCAATAGAGTATCGTATACATAACATGTCAACACTTGCCAATCAACTTAAATTTAGGAAATACATACCTGGGGATCTGTATCACCGCTGCTTGAACCATACCAGAGATAGCTTTGTTGTACTGGTATATCAACCTAGGAAAATTACACAAGTCAGAAGAAGATGATATACGGGTGAACTTCAATAGCAGTCAAAACATCTATGAAAATCAGAATGAATAAGATCAAGAAGGCATCAATCTCAGTTACATTAGGTCAGCTATATTGATAAAGTAATGATCCATCAAGGTTTGAGATTTTTAGTCACCCCTAGCCCAATGTCAACCTAATTTCAAGCAAGTTGTGGAGGTATATTCCATTTGCTACAACTCTGCTTAAAATTGAGGCTAGGAGCCTTCTTGGGAGCATGTTCTATGAGGAACTCTGCTAAAAATTGAGGCTAAGAGCCTTCTTGAGAGAATGTTCTATGAGGTTCAACTTGACTATGTCTTTATTACACGCATAATTTGGTGTTCAGAAGTCCTTTTCTTTTTTTTCCCCTTTTTTCTTTACTTAAAAGACGGCACAAAATTAGAGATCTTCATTTGAAAACAGGATATAGCAGAACTAAAATGGGCTGTAACAAGTCCAAAAAGGTTTTAACTAAAACATATTGCAAAGAGGATCGAGTCAAAGAACAAACTCGTGGAACATTGAAAGTCAAACGTAGCTCAGCCCAGTGCATTACATTGTTCTGATCGATTGTGCCTCCAATCATAATATTTCAAATGTCTATGTATTGTTGGTAAAAGTAGGTAATAAGAGACAAAAAAATTGTCAACATAGAACATCAAAAGGTGTCTAAATTTGGTGAACCACATGATTTCAAAAACTAAATCAGATGAGACATTCTCAGATCAATGAATTGGATGATTCTGATCAGGTGAAGCTCCATTCTAAATTTTAAACAAGCTGCAAAAAGGTTACACATGTTTGAATCAATTTTATGAAACAATTTGTATAGATAATTCTACAAAAATTGAAATGAAAATATATAATTTTGTTGCAATTTTCTGATTTAATTCTTTTCCAAATATTTATTCCATCCATATCCACGATCTCCTAATTATTTTTTATTATAATGAAAAATCTTTTTTAAGTTGGGTAACCATTTTGACTATGAAACCAATGATTTAGCATATGATGTCAATGCCATTACCCTTGCATGGGAAAAGTGAAACATCTTACCCCAGTCCTAGAATTAAACATCCTTTCAAGCTGTCCAGATGCTACAGAAAAGGACATCTTCAAGTTTCCAGGTCCAATTTCAACAGTGTCATTTTGTGGAAGGCCAACCACGGAGCTAAACACACTTCTGCTATTACCTGTATCATTTTGGAGCAAAAGTAGAAGCACATGAAACAAATTAATCTAGCAAATAAATTTATAACCCATTTTCGTCAGTTTCCCATAATTTAAGCATTTTTTTTTCTTCTCCACTCTCTCTCTCTCGCAAAGGCAGAGGAGCCTGTGAAAACTCCCCCCAGTACATATACGGGTGTCTTCAACACAAGATGCAATAAATTCTTAGAAATGAAAAGAAAAAAATGGTCATATTGGACAAGTACCTTTTCCAGCTGCTTTAGAAACAAAATATGTGTTCCAACCCAGAGGCGGCAGAGATACTTTAAACAAAATCCAGTACTTAGGAGCTGGTCCTGGTGAAATTCCCAAGTAGGCCATGGTGTAGAAGTCTCTTAAGTTGCTTGTAACATTATCCAATTCCACATATTGTGCCTCCATTGTATTACCCATGGAATCTTGGACAACAAGGTTGCCATCATTAACCTGTCAAAGTTATACTTTCAATTGTACCAAATATAAAAAAACAGTAACAATCTGCACAAACCACTTTGTAGAAATACAGGGAACAAGGAATTTTTTATTTGGAATAGTACAGAAAAAAATTATAAAGAGAATGGCACCTAGGGGCTGTCACCGTGCACACTAAGGAACAATGGAAATTTCTATTAAAATAGCATCTAAAACTTCAAATTTTAAGGTTGCACTCATATGTTGAAATGAAGAATGAATGAGAACATGCAAAACTGAAATCCAAAATCATATACCTAACTGTATGCAGGACTCAACAAACATGCCTAACACAGCTTATGATATAATCCACACAATTTCAAAAGTATAATGACCAAACATATACAATTTACATGCTTAATAGAGATAGCTTTAGAAAAATGACATTTAGCTTGTGCAGTTAAAGGCTCTGCAGGCTAAGCAGAATACAGTGAACTGGTGGTGAGCTTCTGATTCATTTTATCAATGTTCATTGAAGCCAAAGGTACTTCTTAAAGCATTTTGTTTCCACAGTGAAGTTTGGTACTTTGCCTATTTAATGAATTAATTATTTCAAGACAGCAGTTAAACAGTCACACTGCTTTCATGGCATAATAAGTTGAAAAGCCCAGCCCACACTTCTCCTTAAAACACCGGTATTAAGAAGAGGGAAACTAGAGCCTTATAACTAGCACAGGTGTGGCAACTCCAGGCGATGTGAGAAACATTCCAACACACCCTCCTGGACCAGGACACACAGTAGCCAGACAAACAGCACACCAATCACAGGCCCAACCAAGCTTAATGTGAAGCTCAACTCTACTTATGGTGTCCCTCTGAATGATCTCACTTTCTATTGCGAGCTTGTAGGTTGTTTAGTTTATTTGACTGTCACTCGCCCTGATCTTGCTTATGTTGTTCATGTGGTTAGTCAGTTTGTTTCTGCTCCTCGCTCCACACATTAGGCTGCATTGGTTCGGATTCTTCGCTATCTCCGAGGTACTATCTTTCAGAGTTTACTTTTGTCCTCTACTTCCTTTGTGGATTTGGTGGCCTATGCTGATTCTGATTGGGCTGGTGATGTTATTGATCGCAAGTCCACGTCTGGGTTTTGTATGTTTCTTGGCGATTCCTTGATCTCTTAGAAAAGCAAGAAACAAACTGTTGTTGCTCGCTCTACTACCAAAGTTGAGTATCGTGCTATGGCTCATGCTACTACTGAGATTGTTTGGCTTCGTTGTCTCTTATCTGATTTGGGTGTCCCTCAGTCTTCTCCGACCTCCCTCTACTGTGACAACCGTAATGCTATTCAGATTGCTCATAACACTGTTTTCCATGACTGGACAAAGCACATTGAGATTGGTTGTCACTTTGTCCATCATCGTCTGCAGTCTGGCTCTATCTCACTTCCTTTCGTTTCTTCAGCTTTGCAACTTGCTGACTTCTTTACCAAGACTCACATCACTGCTCGATTTCAGTTTCTTCTTGACAAACTCTCAGTATTTTCTGCTAAAACACCTTGAGTTTGAGCGAAGGTGTGAGAATATTACGTTTCATGTATATATAGTAGTTTATATATTCTGTATATATTAGGGCTTTTGTTTTAGGGCTTTTGTTTCTTTTTTCAGTTCTAAGGTTAGAGTGATATATAAATCAGATGTATTCTTTGTATTGTTACACAATTGAATACGCAGAAAACATTCAGAAATCTTACAGCTATCAGTCAACCTCAATACTAATTCAACATTAGAAATTTTATTCCAATTTGGCCAGGGCAAATCTTCTTGTCATTTATTAACAAATCAAGTTTTGTGTCCCAATCAATTGGGGTTGGCGTTGGCTACATGAATCATTTTTTACTATTATGCTATGTTTGTTAGAATGTGTCCCACATTGCCTGGAGTTGCCCTGTTTGTACTAGTTACAAGGCTCACGTTTCTCTCTCCTTAATACCTGGGCATGTAAGGAGAAGTATGGGCTGGGCTTTTCAATTTGGTATCAGAGGTTGGTTAAGCCTGTGATTGGTGTGTCGTTTGTCCAGTTGCTGTATGTTGTGGTCCAAGAGGGTGTGTTGGAATGTGTCTCACATCGCCTAGAGTTGTCTCATTTGTGTTGGTTATAAGATTCCAATTTCCCTCTCCTTAATACTTGAGTTTTAAGGAGAAATGTAGGTTGGGCTTTTCAATTATGTCAAGGGTTATACGTTAAATTAAATGAATTCATAACCGTTTTTACCACAAATCCCTTGTTAGTTCAAGTCTTCCCTTCCCCTAACCATTCCATTTACAATGATCATATGACTATACCTTACCGTTCAATCTACGTCTTCATTGTACATGACTAAACCATCTTAGTATATTCTCTCTCAACTTATCTTCAAATGGTGCTACTGATAGTATTTCGCAAATGTATTCATTCCTAATTCTATCTTTCCTAGTCTTACCACACAACCATCTTAGCATTCTCATTACAATCACTTAATTAACATGTTTCTTAGTTTTTCAACATTTTGTCCCATAAAGCATTGTTGGCCTTATTCATCTATAATTCTTGTCATTTATTACAAAATAAATAAATAAAAAGGTTGTACCCAAGGTTTTGATTCTTCACTTCAACCACATGTTGAACAACTGCAGCCTCTTTTAAATAAGTATACTGTTATCAAACAAAAAACTCACCGGAATTCTAATGATGTCAGTACGATTCCATCCAAGTGGATTGTATGCCACGACAACCTGAAAGTTAATGTTGAAATAAGCTAACAAATTTCCAGAACATTCCCAATCATGAAAAAATTTCAGAAGAACAATAAAAATTACCAAACTCTTCCCGTCAGGAATATCCTCCTCAGTTGGTGGGCAATAACTTATGTTTAGTAATTGACACTGTCAATCAAAAACCAAAAACTGGGCCGAAAACCCGGAAGGGCGACCCAGGCAAAAGTTAGAGCAAGAGAAAAATACAAAAAAAGAAAAAAAAAAAAAACCAAAGAAAAGAAAAGAAATTAGTGAAAGCAAAAACTAGGGACTGGAGCTCACTTCGTGTACTCACAGAAATGAAAATGTAAAACAAGACACAATTGAGGAAAAATAGCATCTTCTATTTTGCCTTGCACATATTAACAACAGAATGGAGCATTGTTAACTTATAACGAAACATTATTAACATTCTTCAGGTTCTTTAGTTACTGATATATAATCTTGTTCTCCAATCACCAGCTCCAGCGATCCTACCTACAATTGTACATGACCTCACACCCACACTATCCTACTTGCATGTTGCAATCCTACTATAATACCGATTTTATGAGTTGGATCGTTTTGGAAATTTAAGATTTTAGGATTGTACGATCCTAAAATCCGGGTCACAATTTTTATAACCATCACACACACAGATGGTTTGACTCTATCCCCACCAACACCTCTTCCTCCTTTTCTTTGATACGTTCAGTAGCCTAAATCCACGAATAAACATCTAGCAAAATATCTGGTGCCATTTCAGCCAAAACATTTAACAAGTTGTCCAGTTACTGGCATATTAGTGCATCACATCTCATTCTCAGGTCAGTGGCCTTCCACCCCAGCCTAGTGTCGCGGGTTGCACTAGCCAATGGATATGACCTTTTTATCTACTACTATATGACTACTCTCCAATCACCATCTGAGTCCTTTTTGGATGATTCAGATAACAATACATGTCATTGTCAATTACACCTTCATCTTTTTTCTTTTAATAAGCAAGGTATGTCAATTATATTTAAAGCAATCATATGTAGGAGGCATTAGCTCTGATATTTTATTTATAGGAGAGACCATAAAATGAAACTCTTCAGCCTTAAGAAGGCTAATTTACTCCTGCAGTTCCAATAAGCAGTCACATCATGCCTGTCGCATAAACCAGGAAAATATTTATCCAGAAAAACAATGGCAAATCCAGAAGGCTACTGTTAAAACCTACTCCACCTACTACCACCTACTACCACCTACTACACACCTACCACTACCACCTACTACCACCTACTCCACTACATCTCCTATATAAGGAGCCCCTCACCATTTGCAATTGAAAACATACAACAATGCTGGAAATTTGCTTCTTTCCACTTGGGATCATTAAGTGCTTCCTTCCAACCTTACGGAATAGATTCAGAAGACAATGTTGAGGGGGAGTGTTGAAAATTTGTGTTAATGCATATAATAAGATAGTGGCATATGATAGTGGTGTTGGTGGTAGATAGTGGCATGTAAAGAATATGATAGTGGTGTTGGTGGTAGATAGTGGCATGTATAGAATATGATAGTGGTAGATAGTGGTAATATATAATATGTAAGTGGCATATAATGGGTTATAATGATGTTTGTAATATCTCCTATATAAGGAGTGTCATTTGGTCTTGTAAAATAAGAAGTTTTGAATATAACAGAAATATATTCCTTCTTCCTCATATTTTCGGAGTTCATCTTCCTCATATTTTCTAAGTCAATCAATAATATACATCAATTTATTTTTACATGGTATCAGAGCAAGGTTAAGAATCTCGTAATTTCGCTTCACCGGCGGGCGGCAACCTCGCCTTGGCCGCCCGCCGGACCTCAACCTATTCCGCTGATAAAATCAACAAAGATTTGTGCAACTGTAGTCATGTGTGAGGCTGATGGAGAAGAATTCTTCACCTCATATGACGAGACAGTCTGGAACTGGAAACACTGCACCATTCTGCTCTGGAATTCTGCAGCAGCTAGATTATAGCTTGGTTGAGTGCCAAGCTTTGGTTCTTCCACCCACTCGTGAACTTGCCCAGCAAAGTGTGAAGGTTCATGCTTGTGTTGGAGGGACTAGTGTGCGCGAAGATCAGCGCCTTCTCTCCAGTGGGGTTCATGTTGTTGTTGGTACTCCTGGTCGTGTGTTTGACATGTTGCGGAGACAATCACTTCGCCCTGTTTGCATCAAAATGTTTGTCTTGGATGAAGCTAATGAAATGCTGTCACGAGGTTTTTAAAGATCAGATCTATGATATTGTTCTCAGTTGCTGCCACCCAAAATCCAGGTTGGGGTGTTCTCTGCCACAATGCCACCAGAGGCTCTTGAAATCACCAGGAAATTCATGAATAAGCCTGTGAGGATTCTTGTGAAACGTGACGAACTCACTTTACTTTTTCTCTCTCTGGGCCCTTTTTTCTATCCACTAGACCCACTTTCATCATATCCATGATTCCCCTTACTTTAAAACCAAACCTCTATCTACCCAGACAATAGGCAGCAACCCTCATTCATCACTTTTCTCCCCTGCATCTGACCCACCACCACTGGCCATCCAAACCTTCTGGCAGTGGCTCTCCAGCGAAGGAATCATCTCTTCCAAGTCTCCGGTGAAGCCCGGAATTGTACCTGAAGGTCTGGGACTGGTTGCTCAGAGAAACATAGCTCGAAATGAGGTCGTTTTGGAAGTACCCAAGAAGTTCTGGATCAACCCAGATACAGTCTCGGGTTCGGTGATTGGGAGTGTTTGCGGTGGTTTGAAGCCTTGGGTCTCTGTTGCTCTGTTTTTGATCAGAGAGAAGAAGTTAGGAGATGACTCCCAGTGGCGATATTACATTGATATTCTTCCAGAGTACACTGATTCTACTATATATTGGTCCGAAGAGGAGCTCTCTGAGATTCAAGGGACCCAACTTTTGAGCACGACAATGGGGGTGAAAGAATATGTGCAGAGTGAATTTGAAAACAAGAGGAAGTTTACTTTTTGTCTGTGGGTGTTTGGGATACTCAAATCAAGAGCATTTTCTCTCTCTCACTTTACTTTTTCCACCACCCACAAAACATTATCATCACCAACACCAACCCCACTCAACTTTCTTTTCTTTTAATATATATATATATATGTTTATTATAATATATTACCTCAAGCTCCCACCATGTCCACTTTTACACACTCAATCTTCACCTTTTGCACCTCACCCACGTTGCTCCACTTTCTTTCTTTTATTTTATTTTATTTATTTATTTATTTGTAAACTGTCCCGACTCTGTAAACTGTCCCTTTTTATGGGTCCGCCAAGACTCTGTAAACTGTCCCGACATTGATTCCGGTTAGCTCCTTTATGGGTCCGACAAGACTCTGTAAACTGTCCCGACATTGATTCCGGTTAGTTTCTACAAGGGTCCAGCAAGACTCTGTAAACTGTCACAACAACTGTCACAGCATTGTCTGCTACAACGGTCCGACATGACCCCGTAAACTATCTTCTACAACGGTCCGACATGACCCCATAAACTGTCTTCTACATCGGTCTGACACCGCCATCCAGTGTCCTCTACACCGTTATGACACCCCCATACAGTGTCCTCTACAACGTTATGACACCACCATTCAGTGTCTTCACCAATGGTCTGACACGACCATACAGTGTCTCCTATCCTTTTTTATTTTTATGTATTTTCTTGTTTATTTTTATGTATTTTCTTGTTTTGTTCCTCTCTTCAAACTCAAGTTGGTTAGTTTCTATCCTCCTTGAGTTTGCGGGGGGCTGTTAGCATTTACCATCACCTACCACACACTTACCATCACCTACCACACACTCACCTACTACACTCACCTACTCCTCACCTACCACCATCTAACCTACATCTATATAATCAATCAATTGTAACAGAATCATATATCAATCAATATACATCAATCAATAATAATACATCAATTTTTTATTTTTTTACAATAATTCTACAAAAATTGAAATGAAAATATATAATTTTGTTGCAATTTTCTGATTTAATTCTTTTCCAAATATTTATTCCATCCATATCCACGATCTCCTAATTATTTTTTATTATAATGAAAAATCTTTTTTAAGTTGGGTAACCATTTTGACTATGAAACCAATGATTTAGCATATGATGTCAATGCCATTACCCTTGCATGGGAAAAGTGAAACATCTTACCCCAGTCCTAGAATTAAACATCCTTTCAAGCTGTCCAGATGCTACAGAAAAGGACATCTTCAAGTTTCCAGGTCCAATTTCAACACTGTCATTTTGTGGAAGGCCAACCACGGAGCTAAACACACTTCTGCTATTACCTGTATCATTTTGGAGCAAAAGTAGAAGCACATGAAACAAATTAATCTAGCAAATAAATTTATAACCCATTTTCGTCAGTTTCCCATAATTTAAGCATTTTTTTTTCTTCTCCACTCTCTCTCTCTCGCAAAGGCAGAGGAGCCTGTGAAAACTCCCCCCAGTACATATACGGGTGTCTTCAACACAAGATGCAATAAATTCTTAGATATGAAAAGAAAAAAATGGTCATATTGGACAAGTACCTTTTCCAGCTGCTTTAGAAACAAAATACGTGTTCCAACCCAGAGGCGGCAGAGATACTTTAAACAAAATCCAGTACTTAGGAGCTGGTCCTGGTGAAATTCCCAAATAGGCCATGGTGTAGAAGTCTCTTAAGTTGCTTGTAACATTATCCAATTCCACATATTGTGCCTCCATTGTATTACCCATGGAATCTTGGACAACAAGGTTGCCATCATTAACCTGTCAAAGTTATACTTTCAATTGTACCAAATATAAAAAAACAGTAACAGTCTGCACAAACCACTTTGCAGAAATACAGGGAACAACGAATTTTTTATTTGGAATAGTACAGAAAAAAATTATAAAGAGAATGGCACCTAGGGGCTGTCACCATGTACACTAAGGAACAATGGAAATTTCTATTAAAATAGCATCTAAAACTTCAAATTTTAAGGTTGCACTCATATGTTGAAATGGAGAATGAATGAGAACATGCAAAACTGAAATCCAAAATCATATACCTAACTGTATGCAGGACTCAACAAACATGCCTAACACAGCTTATGATATAATCCACACAATTTCAAAAGTATAATGACCAAACATATACAATTTACATGCTTAATAGATAGCTTTAGAAAAATGACATTTAGCTTGTGCAGTTAAAGGCTCTGCAGGCTAAGCAGAATACAGTGAACTGGTGGTGAGCTTCTGATTCATTTTATCAATGTTCATTGAAGCCAAAGGTACTTCTTAAAGCATTTTGTTTCCACAGTGAAGTTTGGTACTTTGCCTATTTAATGAATTAATTATTTCAAGACAGCAGTTAAACAGTCACACTGCTTTCATGGCATAATAAGTTGAAAAGCCCAGCTCACACTTCTCCTTAAAACCCTGGTATTAAGAAGAGGGAAACTAGAGCCTTATAACTAGCACAGGTGTGGCAACTCCAGGCGATGTGAGAAACATTCCAACACACCCTCCTGGACCAGGACACACAGTAGCCAGACAAACAGCACACCAATCACAGGCCCAACCAAGCTTAATGTGAAGCTCAACTCTACTTATGGTGTCCCTCTGAATGATCTCACTTTCTATTGCGAGCTTGTAGGTTGTTTAGTTTATTTGACTGTCACTCGCCCTGATCTTGCTTATGTTGTTCATGTGGTTAGTCAGTTTGTTTCTGCTCCTCGCTCCACACATTAGGCTGCATTGGTTCGGATTCTTCGCTATCTCCGAGGTACTATCTTTCAGAGTTTACTTTTGTCCTCTACTTCCTTTGTGGATTTGGTGGCCTATGCTGATTCTGATTGGGCTGGTGATGTTATTGATCGCAAGTCCACGTCTGGGTTTTGTATGTTTCTTGGCGATTCCTTGATCTCTTAGAAAAGCAAGAAACAAACTGTTGTTGCTCGCTCTACTACCAAAGTTGAGTATCGTGCTATGGCTCATGCTACTACTGAGATTGTTTGGCTTCGTTGTCTCTTATCTGATTTGGGTGTCCCTCAGTCTTCTCCGACCTCCCTCTACTGTGACAACCGTAATGCTATTCAGATTGCTCATAACACTGTTTTCCATGACTGGACAAAGCACATTGAGATTGGTTGTCACTTTGTCCATCATCGTCTGCAGTCTGGCTCTATCTCACTTCCTTTCGTTTCTTCAGCTTTGCAACTTGCTGACTTCTTTACCAAGACTCACATCACTGCTCGATTTCAGTTTCTTCTTGACAAACTCTCAGTATTTTCTGCTAAAACACCTTGAGTTTGAGCGAAGGTGTGAGAATATTACGTTTCATGTATATATAGTAGTTTATATATTCTGTATATATTAGGGCTTTTGTTTTAGGGCTTTTGTTTCTTTTTTCAGTTCTAAGGTTAGAGTGATATATAAATCAGATGTATTCTTTGTATTGTTACACAATTGAATACGCAGAAAACATTCAGAAATCTTACAGCTATCAGTCAACCTCAATACTAATTCAACATTAGAAATTTTATTCCAATTTGGCCAGGGCAAATCTTCTTGTCATTTATTAACAAATCAAGTTTTGTGTCCCAATCAATTGGGGTTGGCGTTGGCTACATGAATCATTTTTTACTATTATGCTATGTTTGTTAGAATGTGTCCCACATTGCCTGGAGTTGCCTTGTTTGTGCTGGTTACAAGGCTCAAGTTTCTCTCTCCTTAATTACCTGGGGTTGTAAGGAGAAGTGTGGGCTGGGCTTTTCAATTTGGTATCAGAGCTTGGTTAAGCCTGTGATTGGTGTGTCGTTGGTCCAGCTACTGTATGTTGTGGAGTTGTCTCATTTGTGTTGGTTATAAGGTTCCAATTTCCCTCTCCTTAATACTTGAGTTTTAAGGAGAAATGTAGGTTGGGCTTTTCAATTATGTCAAGGGCTATACGTTAAATTAAATGAATTCATAACCTTTTTTACCACAAATCCCTTGTTAGTTCAAGTCTTCCCTTCCCCCTAACCATTCCATTTACAATGATCATATGACTATACCTTACCGTTCAATCTACGTCTTCATTGTACATGACTAAACCATCTTAGTATATTCTCTCTCAACTTATCTTCAAATGGTGCTACTGATAGTATTTCGCAAATGTATTCATTCCTAATTCTATCTTTCCTAGTCTTACCACACAACCATCTTAGCATTCTCATTACAATCACTTAATTAACATGTTTCTTAGTTTTCCAACATTTTGTCCCATAAAGCATTGTTGGCCTTATTCATCTATAATTCTTGTCATTTATTACAAAATAAATAAATAAAAAGGTTGTACCCAAGGTTTTGATTCTTCACTTCAACCACATGTTGAACAACTGCAGCCTCTTTTAAATAAGTATACTGTTATCAAACAAAAAACTCACCGGAATTCTAATGATGTCAGTACGATTCCATCCAAGTGGATTGTATGCCACGACAACCTGAAAGTTAATGTTGAAATAAGCTAACAAATTTCCAGAATATTCCCAATCATGAAAAAATTTCAGAAGAACAATAAAAATTACCAAACTCTTCCCGTCAGGAATATCCTCCTCAGTTGGTGGGCAATAACTTATGTTTAGTAATTGACACTGTCAATCAAAAACCAAAAAGAAAAGGCGGCAAATACAGCAAAAGTAAAAATTAGCACCAGATCAGGAGGAGACAAATTGAACAGAAGATAAGGCATATTTGGCCAACAACAAATTATTCATTAACCCCACCCCCCCAAAAAAAGAAAAGAAAAGAAAAGAAAAGAAATTAGTGAAAGCAAAAACTTGGGAGTGGAGCTCACTTCGTGTACTCACAGAAATGAAAATGTAAAACAAGACACAATTGAGGAAAAATAGCATCTTCTATTTTGCCTTGCACATATAAACAACAGAATGGAGCATTGTTAACTTATAACGAAACATTATTAACATTCTTCAGGTTCTTTAGCTACTGATATATAATCTTGTTCTCCAATCACCAGCTCCAGCGATCCTACCTACAATTGTACATGACCTCACACCCACACTATCCTACTTGCAAGTTGCAATCCTACTATAATACCGATTTTATGAGTTGGATCGTTTTGGAAATTTAAGATTGTAGGATTGTACGATCCTAAAATCTGGTGCCATTTCAGCCAAAACATTTAACAAGTTGTCCAGTTACTGGCATATTAGCGCATCACATCTCATTCTCAGGTCAGTGGCCTTCCACCCCAGCCTAGTGTCGCGGGTTGCACTAGCCAATGGATATGATCTTTTCATCTACTACTATATGACTACTCTCCAATCACCATCCGAGTCCTTTTTGGATGATTCAGATAACAATACATGTCAATTACACCTTCATCTTTTTTCTTTTAATAAGCAAGGTATGTCAATTATATATAAAGCAATCATATTTAGGAGGCATTAGCTCTCATATTTTATTTATAGGAGAGACCATAAAATGAAACTCTTCAGCCTTAAGAAGGATAATTTACTCCTGCAGTTCCAATAAACAGTCACATCATGCCTGTCGCATAAACCAGGAATATGTTTATCAAGAAAAACAATGGCAAATCCAGAAGGCTACAATAGCCACTACAAGAAAAAGCAGATTTCGCAACTAAAAATGAATTTTTCGTCGCTGAAAGTAGCAGAATTGGCGACTAAAAGATTAGTCGCTAAATGTGTGATTTTAAAAAGTGTAAATCACTATTGGCGACTAAATAGTTGGTCGCTAAAGAGCTATTTTTTGCCGACTAAAAAAATTTTAGTCGCCAATACCTCCGGCGACCATATATACGCGACAAAACGGGCGACTAAAAAAATTAGTCGCTGAAAGTAAAAACTCAACTTTCGGTGACTAAAAACAGACTTTTGGCGACTAAAAATTTAGTCGCCAACGGTGCTTTTTCTTGTAGTGAGCTCTTGTTTGCAATTCCAGGGCTGTTATAGTCACACTTCCTAATTCACAGATCAAGAATTTTAGATGGGGGTGCTAAAATGAAATTAAAGTTGCAAAGTCAAAAAATCACCTGGCTCAATGTTGGTAAGGTTGTGGCACATTGGTCCTTTGATGTTGAGTTAGTTAGGCATGACAAAGATGAACTCACGACAGCTTCTGACTACATAAGGTATTGAATTTGAAAATATAAACATAACTTCAGTATTAGCATCAGTAAAGGTGGTGGGGGAGAATAAACATAAAAGGTCAAGTTCATAAAATAGTCAGCAGCCCACCTCAGAAGCTCCACGTGCCAAGCGCTTTTCATAGTCATTTGTTGTATGTTGTTTAGCAGTGCCAGTGACAGCATCATGGTGCTGAGCAATTCCTAAAGCATCTCCTAAACTGTAAGTATTGGCACCAGCAGATCTCCTTCCAGCCAGGAATTCAAGTTGGCGTGCAGCCTACATTGGACAAAGGGAACATAAACTCATTATCTTGTTTGATTTAGTTTTTGAAATTTGTTTTCAATATTTTGTTTTTTGAATTCTTTTTTTCTTTAGTGAAACCTTTTTCATATTTTAATCAATTTTTTTTAGATGCACCTAAGAAGTAAATTCTTTTTGAAGAAATCTAAAAAGGTTATTAAAGACAAAAAAAAAAAATAAGAACATAGTTGATTTTTTTATTTTATTTTTCTGATTTAGTGAACTTTTTGCAAATTTGCTCACAAATATTATGGTTTTTAGATTCATCTAGATTAAGTGCATCTAAAAAAATGACTAAAATGTGAGGGAAAACACGAAAAACAAACAAAGGCTTGGCTGAACTCGTCATAAATAAAAGCTAAAAGCTAAAAACACAAAAAACAAAAATTCAATAACAATTTTTGAGTTTGAAAACCAAACAAAGGCTTGGCTGAACTCATCATAAATAAATACTAGAAAAGAATTGGAAAGCCCATCCAGTGCATGACAAATGAAAACGTGTCCTCTGTCCTCACGGGACATATCCAGTGGCCACAATTGGCACTTCAAATGCCAAATAGAAATCTTGGTTTTAGTTGACGATTTCATGTTTACCAATTCAAGGACCAAAATATGTTTGAGTTCATAAGCATATAGACTCAAGAGACTCATTTGTGGAGTGAAGATGCTGGCTCTCTGCAGCAAGCATATCAAGTGAACAACACAAAAAGATCCTCATCATGACTCGATGAAATCCTCAAGAGAGAAACTATAATTCCATACCAAATAATATCCACTCAACAAACGAATATATCGCTTCAAGGCAGGGCGACTAGTAAAAAATCCAGTCCAATAAGCATTTGTATTGTCTGCATATCTGTTCAATATTAAAAGACAAGATTCTGTATCAAGAATTATGGTGACAAGAATATTCAGATAAACTGCAACTTAAGGTAGTTAAATAAATAAAATCAAAAATCAATGCTCACGGATAATAGTCATCAGTTTTCAGTGGCCACGATACATTTTCGGCATTTTTTGCATCTGTGTAGAGAGATGGGGTAGAATACAACACATTTATGCGACCATCCTGCAAAATCCGAACTCACTCTTAATGCAGACTGAGTCTAAGAAACTTATATATCAAAAACAAAAAACAAAAAGAAAAACAAATCTGCCTTGGAAGTTGGAACACATTTATGTACTTCAGTGTATGGTACTCAATTAAGTTGTCAATGCACCCATAGGAAAATGGGCTCTCAACTCTAGTCCATAATATATTTGGATCCAACCACTCTTAGGCCATGTTTGTTTGGGTAGACATGAGCTTGGGATTGGACTAATAGTCCAATAAAATTATTAATCCGATGTTTAGTTAAGCAATTGAAGTACGGATTAATTATTTTAAACTTGACTATTAGTTAAGATAGGATACATAATCCAACGGATTGGTAGTCCTAGGATTATTAGTCATGGGAATACTAATCCAGTCCACCCAAACAAACATGGCCTTAAGGTATATATATATATACAAGCAACAAAGTCAAGCTCAGAAACAAAAAGTTCCAATTGTTTAAATATCTCAAAATTTACCTTGTTAACATAGTGAATTAATTTATCCATTTGTTTGAACCAAGACTCAGCATATTGATATTGAAAGTCATCTCCCATTGTCCACATAATATGATTTGTCCTTGTCACATTTGCCTATGTATAAAGAGGGTCAAACGTATTATAAGTTAGTGTATGTATAAAATTTTTTGTTCTAGCTAGTTCAACAGACCTATTAAAATCCAAACAACATGAGCTCCCAAAAAAAAGGAAATTAGAATTTACTTGAGTGATTGCAGCATTAATAACATCATTAACTCGTTGTTCAACATTGTAGTCATATAGAAGAGGATTATCCTGCAGTTGCAGCATGCATCAGATGAGAAGAGACAATCACCAAAATACTAGAACAAAATTTTAGTGGGCTCATGCTTGCTTAATGATGGAACCTGGACAGGCATGAAGTCATCAGAAACTTCAAACTCGAACCCGTTTGGAGGACTATAATGAACGGGAAATGTATTAGTAAAGATCTGCAGGCAAAAACAAAAACAAAAAACAAAGTGAATAATGAATAAAGAGAGCCATTTAAAAGAAAGGATCTGGAACAGAAAAGCAATTGCAGTTCCAGACCTGAGAGGAGGAACCAAAAGTTTTGGATCCACGCCATACAACTTCAAGAGATTTATCTTGCTTGCGCTTTGCTCTGTCCTGATAATCAATCCTCGCAAAATGCACTGAATCGAAGCCAAGCTAAAGAAGCAACAGAATTAAAGAAATTTCAGGCAATATACATTTCATTGACTCAAAGGAAATTTATAACTTGTGCCAATAAATTTCAGCCCTGAATCTGAAACACAGAGTGCTTTTCAATTTTGAAAGAATGACAAGTGCAGCAGTACCAATGTAATCAAACCACTTCAACAGTTGACTTGGCAAAACAAACTTATGAGCATAAACATGCTTATTTATGATAGCAGGTTGCAATCACCATATTTGCCATAGATTTTTGGCATCTCAACATCATAATTCGTAAAATTTGTGTACCTCAGCCCCGAGTAGGTAAGCTTGCACAGCTGAGTGGCCAAATGGATCAATCTGCCATCCAGCACGAGGTGTTATATTGAATTGGTTTTTGATTGTGCGATGACCAAGGGTTGTTTGGTCAATCATGTCGATGTAATGGCTTGTTGCTTCATCATGCATACACCAACCACCATTTCTGCACCAAAGAATCATTTTTGCGTTAATGTATGCCAGTATCCTGGACAAGGAAACAGAATACACGTTACAGGTAGATTACATACATGAATTCGAATTGACCAGCATCAACGAGCTTTCTAACTTGTGCTTGTATTTCCACACTCTGTTCTACCCACCATCTTTGGAAAAAAGCCTATAATTCATATTGGCGTCTGTCAGCTAATTTAAATTTAAATCCCTTGAAAAATAGAAGAAATGATAATGCTTAAATTTATCAAAGAAAAATATTGCATAATTTTCTATAGCACATTTTGCTTTGCTTTCTCAAAATAAAAAAGTACAAGCATTGGCTTGGACCTCTTCCAAATGAATTACAACAATTGTAATCAATCGCTTGTTAGCATTTTGCATCCTAGTTCAATGGTTATGGTCAGATGACCTATTACACATTTTCAAAAATTCACAGTAATTAATGAAATTCTTTCTTAAGTAATTACTCTGAAACCATTATTCATTTGTAAACACTGTCCATTAATTACCATCAATTTTAACTCTGTTAAACCCTCTCCAACTCTCTGTTTGTCTACCCTCTCAACAAGTTAACTCATCATCTTCTCTTCCCCTGATTTCATATTGTCTTCTTCACCTCCTGCAATCAGTCTTCATCTTCTGCCATTGTTGGAGTAAACATGAAGATGATGTGGTTGAACCAATAGATCCAAGTAGTAACTTGAATCGGAAAAACAAATAAATCCAAGTTGCAGAGTTACGACTATGTGACAGGGAATAGAAGATACAGAGATGAAAGGATTAACAGAGTCCAATATTACTTTTAATTGATTTACACGTGTTATCATCTGAAGAATGGGACAGGCAGATGGTACAGGCATCAGGGACAGGGGATCCGAAGCCTAATGAATGTGACAGAATGGAAATGCAATTTAATTCAAAGCTAAGCAGCTAGAAGGTGAAGAAAACAACCAAAAACAAATATGACTGTCTAAAATTTAGTAGTTGACTTGGATCTAAATGGGTCTGGTGGGAAAAAAAAAGAGATTCATGTATGTAGCCAAGCATACAATTAACTTCATTAAACTGAAACAAGAAGTTCACTTATAATTGAAGTTATTCCAGACATAATAATTAATCACATCTTCAAATTTCATTCATTTTACCATTTCAGCAAAAATAAACTTCCTATTCGGATCTTTGAGCAGCGACACCATAACCGAGTCGAGCACATTCTCAACACAAGCACCCTGCACAAAATCACCAAACAATCAGCATCCAATTCAACATACCCCACAAACCAATACTCCAACAAATCCAAACTCATATACTGAGTATGACCTGTATGCTGTTATTTGATCCAACATAGTACTGATCAATAGTCTTCAACCAACCCACGTCATCATGAGAGTGAGGAACAAAATGGACATTCAACTTTCCCTCAACAATGCCACTCCCAGTATTGTATTTAATATACCCATACCCATTAACACCTCCATAAAAACAGAGCAAAACCCATATGCAAACAAGGGCTGAAACTGATAAAGCTGACATTTTCAAAACCAGAAAAACCCTCTATAGCTTCTACAACCAAAATCTATGGAGTTTAGAGGGCAACTTAGAGAGTCCACAAGAGCGATGCAACCAAAGTGATCTATGTTGGGTACTGACAAATGGGCATAGGTTTCTCCATTGGATTGGAGAGGCCGGCCAAGGGATGGGATTTGGGTGGGACTGGTTCATCATATTTGCCTGGGAAAAGTTCGCAGTTGAAGTTGTTGGGTTTGAAAAAAGGACCACTGGTGACGTGTTTCAATGGAAAAGATTGTCTGAATCTGTAAATTTAATTTTTAAAGAAAACGCACCGTTTCTGGCTGAATAAAGCTTTTGATTCTTCATAATTTATATTATAATTTTGAAATTATAATATTATACTGTAGCATGTATTAACACAATTAATTATTATAATAATTGGTGTATGTAATACTATTGTGGCTGGTTTGTTTTGGCATTGAATAATGTCATATGCACCAATTAATATACTATAACTAATGTATCAATTGATAACATTACAACAAAAACATACTTTAGTGGCACTACACTAGTGGCATATTTTTAGAAAATGTCACAAAAAATAATATTTAGTGGCACGTTTTTAAAAAATGCCACAAAACGACAAACATGAAAGGCTCTAGTGACATTTCAATGAACAAGTGTCACAAAACTACAACAAAAACATACTTTAGTGGCACTACACTAGTGGCATATTTTTAGAAAATGCCACAAAAATGATATTTAGTGGCACGTTTTTGAAAAATGCCACAAAACGACAAACATAAAAGGCTCTAGTGACATTTCAATGAACAAGTGTCACAAAACTACAACAAAAACATACTTTAGTGGCACTACACTAGTGGCATATTTTTAGAAAATGACACAAAAATGATATTTAGTGGCACGTTTTTAAAAAATGCCACAAAACGACAAACAACCCTATATAACCACAACAACAAAAAAAAAAAAGTAGCTAAAAGTGATTTTTGCTTTTGAAATATGTAAAACATGCATAAGTACTATAAATAGTTTACTAGCATTTTATAAGTCTGAATAACAGAGCGCGTAGCGCTTACATTATTGATTTGAAGAATAATTTTTATTTATTTATTTTGTCCTCTTTGTTGCACTCATTGTATAAATATTAATTTGGCAATCCAGCAACATCACTTGACAATATTTTTTATCAATCGCCAAATTACCATACTCTTTGTTATTTGCTAATGACCCAATACAAAAGTATCAACACTTTATCCATCAATCATAACACTTCTAAGGCATTATATGACCATATTTCAGAAAAAAATTTAATTGGAAAATATGTTATTGGAAAAAAATTTAATTGGGAAAATATATTATTCCAATTAAATTTTTTTCCAATAATATATTTTCCCCATAATACTTTTCCAATTAAATTTTTTTCCAATAATATATTTTTTCAATTAAATTTTTTTCCAATTAAATTAAATTAGAAAAAAAATTAATTGGAAAAAAAATTAATTAAAAAAACAATTGAAAAAAATTTATTTGAAAAAAAATAATATATTTTTCCAATAATATATTTATTTATTTATATTTATTTAATTCTTAAATTTTATTTATTTTTATTTTGATGTAAGTGTGATGTGTGTGTGAGTGATGTGTCAGAGAGGGAGAGAGAGTGTATGGTGTGCCTGTGAGTGTGTGGTGTGGTGTGGTTTGTGTTATGAATGAACTCGTGGTTCACAACCACGAATTCAGAAGAAAAGATTTTGGTCAAAAAGCGTGGATCGAAATAGCGAGTTCAAGAAATTTTTTTTTTTATAAAATCGTGGTTTAGAACCACAAGTTTAAAAGAAAAAAATTTTTGGATAAAATCGCGTTTTGTAACCGCGATTTCTTAATTAAAATCGCTTTTCGTAACCACGAATTTAAGATTTACCAACTTTCACGCGAAATGAGAAAAAATTTGTTGAACTCGCGATTGTGAATCGCGAGTTAACTTATTCTGGGAATTCTTTCAAAACTAGGCTTAGTTTGAGAATTCCTGTACTATTTTAGCTTATTTATGGAAATGGCCCGAAAAAAGGACCACTGGTGACGTGTTTCAGTGGAAAAGATTGTCTGAATCTGTAAATTTAATTTTTAAAGAAAACGCACCGTTTCTGGCTGAATAAAGCTTTTGATTCTTCATAATTTATATTATAATTTTGAAATTATAATATTATACTGTAGCATGTAATAACACAATTAATTATTATAATAATTGGTATATGTAATACTATTGTGGCTGGTTTGTTTTGGCATTGAATAATGTCATATATACTAATTAATATGTTAATTAATATATTAACGGATAATATGACATAATTTTAAAAATATTAAAATTTTATATTTATATAATGAATAGAAATATAATTTTAAAATAATAATACCATAATATACTAATTAATGTATCGTTTGGCATTTATCCATCCACTCATGTGATGTTGGGACCATATCAAAGCTTTAAGTGATCATAATTAGGGTTGCAAATGAATCCAACTGTTCATGAATAAGTTCAGCTCGACTCGTTAAGAGCTCAGCTCGGCTCGTTTAGTATACGAACCGAACTCGAGTTTGAATATTAGGCTCATTTTGTAAAAGAGTCGAGCTCGAGTTAGAATAAGCTTGGCTCTTCAAGTTCGGCTCGTTTATTTTTATTTAAATTATATAATAAATATATTATTTATATATTAAATAATATGCAAATATATAAATAATAGTATAAAATATTAAATAATATAAATAATATTAAAAAATATCTTATCGAATAAAACGAGTTTCATTAATATTAACAAGTCAAGCCGAGACGAGTTCAAGGTCAAGAAACGAACTCTATAAGCAAATGAGCCGAGATTGAGCTTAACAAAACTCAACTCATTTACAGTCTTAGATAAAACATGGCTACAAAACAAAACTAAAAAGAAGAGTTTTTTGCTAATTAAAGTAAAAAAAATCTTGGAGTTCTTATGAAATTTGAAAATATTGAAAGTGATAATTTTACGACATATTGAATTATGAATCTGAAAGGACCACCCTTTTTTCCCCTCAAAAAAGAGAAACAAAGAAAAAGAAACAACAACAATAATGATAAGTTAGGATCCATTGCTTGAGTAATTGAGACTCAATCCGAACAAATGGGCAAAATATAAATAATATTTTTTTATTTAAATAATATTAAAAAAATTATCGAGCCGGGCTTGAGTTTGAGTTTCATTAATATCAACGAGCCGAGCTGAGCATGACCCCAAGTCCAATTCCTTATCGAGTTAAGCTTGAGCTCAATAAAACGAGTTTGATAAGTAAATGAGCCAAGTTCAAACTCAACAAAGTTCAGTTCAGCTCAGCTCAGCTCGGCTCAGTTCGTTTCGTTTGCCACCCTAGTCATAATAACTTGGTACAAAAATTCTAAGAATATCCAATTATGTTCAATGAACACAAATTTTTATGCTAAAATTTTCATAATTGTTGCTTTGTTTGGTATACAAATGGCTTGTAATTTATCTGTGTCTATTGAGGGGGTTTGGGAACAAGGTCAGATTTTTTAAATAAAAAAAAATTTCTTTAATAAATTTCCTTTTTCTAAATTATGTCAAAAAAATTCTTTTTTGGATCCATTGTTTGGTACCTTGGCCACACTCTCAATTCCTTTTATATCTTCATGTGCCTTTAGATTTTATTTTCTTATATGATATCTTCAAATTTCACAGTTTGATCACTATTTTAACGTTGTGATCTTATTACACGACGTCATAATATTATTATCGATCACAACAATTAGTCTCATCAGTAATGTAGTCATTTTTGACCGATTTCGTGTCATTTATTTTATTGTATCGTATAACTGACTGAGGAGATTAATTTTTCTACTTTGATGAACTTATATGATGCGCTCATCCAAAATTGAAGTATGTCATAGGTCAAGTATTATTTTGGGTTTTCTCACTTGGTCCATTTCATTACAGTCGAGTTCTAGTCGTTTTTTTTTTGGCCAATCTACCCCACAAGATAAATAAATTATTTTATCCCTTTATTTTAATTCAATTTTCAAATTGTTATTTATCAATTGGCCTATAACACATGAAAAACTTAATAATGAAATTTATACAACTAAAATTATAAAGAATAAATTGATACAAGAGAAAAACTACATGAACTTCTTAGATGACAAATTGAGAAAGCAAAGTGCAAGCTCTGATGTATGCTATTTTTTTTCTTCTTTTAATTAAGTTCTTATATTAATAAATAAAAAAACAGCTTCACACTTTTATCAATGGTTTGGGTCATCATGAGTTAATTAATTGTAGTCATCACATTATTAGGTAATTAATTAATGAGTTAATTATTTAAAAGTTCAATTTATAAATGTTATGGTTGCTTGGATTCTATTTAAGATTTTTTTAAACTAATAAGTCTTATTTAATAAAATTGAGAATATTATTAGTTTTTCTCAATTTTTAAAATTAAGAATATTATCAATTTTGCATAGTTTTGTTTCAGATAATTGTTTCACTAACTGATAGAAAAAAATAAAGCATGAGATTAAATATTTTTGCTCTTCTACTTATTGGTTTGATTCAACCATCCAATAAAACCGACAATTCAATTTTAAAATTGAGAACATTATAAGTTCTTTTATTTTTAAAGTTTTTTTTTTCAATTTTGCACATCAATGTTCCATCATCATGCTTCTTTATAGACACAAAATTTTCAATTTTGTACAAAAAAATAATTCAATTTTTTCAAAAAACAAAATTATTATTATTATTTTTTTTTGCACAAAATTATTTTGTAGTTTGTTCAATTTGAAAATTAATGTTTTAAAGTTTTGAAAATTAAAATAAATATCAAATCATCATGTTTCTTTATAGATAATCATAAATGATGAATAATTATTGTTTGAAGAATGATTTTGACTATTAAAAATTTAATGAGACTTGAAAGTCTAAAAAATTTTAATAATCAAATAGTATAAATTCATAAATTAATACTGATATATAAATGCCTCTTAATTAATCATTTCAGAAAGTGCCACTCGGAAAGTACACAAAATAAAATAAAAAGAAAAAATTTCTTAGCATTTTTAATATTTTACAACTCAAAGTAAATTTTTTAAATTAAATTTTAAAAAAAGTTATTATAAATCAATAAACAATTTATAATTGTCTACATCACTAGTATTGGCAGACAAATATTGACTATT